TGACCTGCTACCTGTTCACTACAGAGCACCTCTTGCAGCCCTTTTCGTTAGCTTATCGCTATGGCTCCGTCTTTCTATTCGTGTCCTGCAGTGCGCTGCCCTTCCGCTCCCTTAACTCCCTTCAGCCTTGGCCCTGCTCTGTGGAGCAGTAAGACGTGGTCACTTGTTTTTCGCCTCTTCGGTCCTCCCTCAGAGGCTCACTTTCTTCACTTCTCCTTGGGATCTCAATGCTGCCTCCTAGAACAAAATCAAGCTTAAATAGTATATGCAAATCTGAACTCCATTTCTCTCAATCCCTTGCTGAGTTTCTGTTTGCTAACTGGTGTGAGCATTTGTCTCATTTAAGCTTGCAAACGTAAGCATCATGCTGTTTGTTCATGTCCTCTGTACCTTTTGCATAACCCTTCTTGTCAAAATTCTCAGCAAAGTTTCCTGTGAACTTATTCTTCCCCTGCTTCCCTGAGTGAACCCATGGGGCTTCCACAAACTCTTGCACTTTCTTCTGTGATTGCACTTAAAAGTTTTATCTTAATTACACTTGTCTCCCTCCATAACTAATTCCATGAGTTACTCATTTTGCTATATTAAACTCATACTCAGCATACAGTAAGCATTCAACATGTATTTGGACTGTAAGTTGCAAAATGAAGTTAACATAGTAGGAAGGGGAAGTAATGGTTGGGTTCTTGACACTCGGGATAGTGAAAGCAGGTGCTGGCTGTGATCCAAGCTCTTAGCAGCAGCTCAGACGTCGTCTACAGTTTACTTCAGACCTCCACTCTTGGTGTGTTACATGGCATGAGCTTGCATACCTCTGCTGCCTAGGAATAGGCCTTGTAGACTCTGTGAGCAGAGGCAGTATTGATCCATTTGGATGAATTAACTTTGTATTTAGTTCTAGGTTAACAGTGTGAATACCAAACAGAATGTTAGCAGCAGCAGGGTACTGATGTCATATATTTGATAAGAATTAAGTAGTGGACATTTTAGAAAAGAGAAAGACTTCTGTAAGCAAGGGTGAGTGTGTGCTAGGTGTGTACAGCTTTAGAGAAAAGCTTCAGGCCCAGAAACGGCTCATGAAGCAGGGTTCTGGGTATGAGTTCGAGTCAGCCTTCCAAGCTGCCACCTGGGTCTGGCTGTGCTCCTTGGCCTTCTCTTGGACAGGACTTTGGCGCCCGGACCTCCTCGGTGAACACCCAGACTACTCATAGCCAAATAATGCCTACAGACGGGCCAAGGTCACCCACAGTCTCCTAGACACCAGCACCCCCCTCCCACAGATTGCCAGCCCTGCGCTTAGCACTAGTGCTCAAGGATTGTTCCTGAAAATGCAGGCACTTCTCCCTCCAGGTGTTGCCAGTTGAAGTTCTGGTCTACTCGGCACGGAACACCCCATTGAGTCCTCATTTTGGCATAGTCATTACTCTATGAGATGCTGACAGTTAAAGCCACATTCCCAGCTTAAGAGTAAAGTCATTGTCATTGTCACTCTAATACTGTGACAGATTGTGGTGTTGGCAGTGGAGCTGGTGGAGGTCTGTGGGCCAGGTTGGCTGGCTCTCTTTTGTTCCAGACGTTGTCAGTGACTATGGATGTCACAGAAACTAATCCAGACCATTTGTCAACATCAGGAGGCATCAAATGGTATATTTTTTAAAATGTCTTTTTTTTTTTTACAAAAAAGCTAATCTGTTAACCGCAGTCTGACATTCAATATGACATACTTGTGCGGGAGGTCAAGATCCCAAACTTCTGCCATTCTCAGAACAGGGATAAGTTCTTTCCATTTTAGTTCTAGGCTAATTAAATATACCTGGGGAGGAAGTTAAGCTAACAGCATTTCAGAAGTTCAAAGCAGGCAGCATCCTGGTAGCTGCAACGATCATCGCAGATAGCGTGCCACCTCAAGCCTGGGCAATAGCAATGGTCTTTAGGTGGGGTCAGCTTGGACACTAAAGCAGACACAGGCAGGAAAACACACGTGTGGTACATTGGGGTGACCCTGAACACACCACTTCGGGCTAATGTTCTTATGGAGGAGCAGGGGGAGAAACAGCTAGACTCTGGGCCAGAGCCAGACTGCGGAGGGCCTTGCATAGACAGCGGACGGACGAGGCTGGCCCTGGTCCAGTGAGCACAGGGGGCCTCTGGAGATGGAAAGTAACATGATGAAAGCCACATGCTGAGGCTTTTAGAAGGAATGTGCTGAAAATGTAGCACTTAAAAGTGAAATTGAATATGAGAGAAAACTGGAAATAGGATGATTGGCCATTCAGTCTTGTAAATTGCCTTTATTATCAGATAAAATTCATTTACAGGAGAGCTACTTTCCCCTTGGATATAAATGTCTCATGTTGAACCAAATCAAGAAGCAAACAAAAATAGAATCATTACTGTTCTAAGGGTGTAAGACACAGGAAATAAAACGCTACAATAAACCCTCAGTGTTTGTAACTTCTGAATCCCAAAATGTATGTGTCCCACCGAAGCTTATCATTCTTCCCGTAAAACGGTGAGAAATATGACTTCTCTGGAACAACCACATTTGCTGTGCGGTCCAAAGTACCAAAGCCACGTGGGGTTGCGGGTTGTCACCTGTGCTCACCCCCTAAGGGCCTCCTTTCCCACCTTGGGAAAACACAAGCCACTTACTTTATGTCTCCACCAGAATAAACCCTGAAATTTTTGTCATAGATAGGATCCCTTTAAAGTTGTCTTAAAAAAAAAAAAAAAGTACTGTTTTTGCAAAGTGAGTTTCAAGTCAGCCTACTCACTGTACTTTGAAGTCATAATAACACCCAAAACTCCTTCCAAGAACCGTGCGGCCACCCCCACGCTGCCTGTGTCGGAAGTTCTGTTTGGAAGTTGAACCAGTTAGCATTGCTGTGTCCTCACCGTGTCCTGGCCCACAGGTGCCCCCGCTCCAGACACAGTGGGAAGCCCCTTGAGACCAACTCCCTCTAAAGGAGGAGGCAAGGCAGGGCTGGAACAGCCCGAATGACTTGGGTGTCTGGGATAAGAACCGGAAGAGAGGGCTTCCTTATTCCCTTGAGTCACACTCAACTGCAAGTGGCTTTTCTAAATTACTAAATTAAGGTCAGTCAGTTATTGCAAACTAAATACATGGTGTAGATAATCACAGCACATCACAGTTGACACCTCAGGTAAACAGTCTCTTGTGTCACTTTAATGACTAATTGCAAACTTTAGGAAATTCTACATTGAATTCAGCATTAATCATGTTTTCCTCAAGCTCCACACTAGTCCAGCATTGAGAAGCAGTGGTTCATTTTTTTAACTGAGAAATGAACTGACTCCTCCTCCTTCCTACATTTTCCGTGAGTGCTGTTACTGTGAGCATTACTGAATAAGGCGGTCCTGTGATAAGATTATGCCCATCCGCCCTAGAATTCTGCAGACAGTCCCTGAGAAAGAAAAGAAACAGCCACCATACAGGTCTCTAACCAGACAGAGGATGACAAGAGGCTTCCAGACAGCCAGGAAGTGAGGTGACCCCACCAGACTCAGTGTTCTGATTCATTCTCATCATCTTAATCTTGTTGCCTTCCAAGTTTTCTCTGCAGTTACGGAGGAAGAGATCTACCGCTGTGAGTGTTCTGTTTTAGCTTAGAGAGCCTCTGCAGGTGAAGACCCCGCAGCGGTGTGTGGGGCCTGCAGACAGAAGCAGTGGTCCCCGTTCAGGAAGGAAAGGCAGCTGTGCGCCTTGAAATCGCTTGCATTTCACTTAGCACCCCGATTTGTTCACGGTCACGGGACTTTCCTTTGTGGCCAGTTTTCTTTGGCAGGTGAACCAGGCCCGGGATGCAGGTCGAGGCCTAGTGCAGTCAGTGTAGGAGGTCAAAGATGTGCTGTACTAACATGAGCCCGTTTGGTTGTATCTTCAGCAAACTCAGTGCCAAAGCTAATGGGAGCTTGCTGCTTTCTTGTCTTTATGGCCCCACAGCTGCTTGGACACAAAGGAGTTGAAGGCAGAAGTGAAAAATCTGATGGCAGTATGGCCTGAAAACAGGCAGGGTCATTCAAAGCCCAGCAGTTTTGACATTCGGTGTTGGCTGCTTTTATCTCTGTTGCTTAGGGTAGATTAGCAGAACCAGGTATAAACTGCCCCCTGCTGTCGGGTGTGGGGAAGTACATGCCAAATGCCCGCTGCTTTGCTAAGAATTGTATTTGTAAATACCTGCCTGGGCTGGAAAACAACCTTGGGGAAGGACAGAGTGCTGACCACGCATATCATGGATCACTGAGATCCTCTCCAGTCTTAGAGGAGAGATGCAGAGGCAGCGCCTGTTAAAGACCCGCATTTCAGAATCGGAGAGCTGCCTAGCCGCTCCTCCCTCTGTAGCCCTTCTTGCTCACCATGTGGTCCTGGGTCTGGCAGCATCTGTTACACTTGGGAGCTTGTGAGAAACGCGGGCTCTCAGGCCCCACCCTGCATCTCCTATGCTAGAATCCACTTTTAACCAGCTTCCCAGGTGACTGATGCGGTTGGAGAAGCCCCAAACATAGCTTCAGGGGGAGCTTCGAGCTTGGAGAAAGTCAGCCTTTCCAATGTGAGTCAGACTGAGCCCCATTAGAGCAGTGAACAAACAGCTCCACAGGAGGGTGTGCTCCTCTCTCCGCATCCTGCCTGCCTGAGTCCTGAGCACCTCGTGCCCCCCCCCACCAGCTCTCTTACCAAAGACACTTTAACTTGTCGTACTGTTAGTTGCTGTATTTCCAAGCAGCTGACATTTGCCACGCAGCTTCTTTCAACATCAGTTAGTTCCCAGCAACTGTGTGACAGGCGTCTGATCTGATTGGCAGCCTCTGTTTACTGTCTTTGCTCCCGTCTGCCCTCCCCCCCATCTTCTCTCCCTCTCGCACACACCCCTGTTGCTATTCTTTAAGTCGACCTGCCCCACTCGGCCCTGCAGGATGGAGCTGGGCCCCTGGGGCCTTGTCGGTCTGCTGCTAACCTGGAGTGTTCTTTTCTGCGCCAGGTCAGGGAAGAATGCCGACTCCTGAACGCCCCACCTGTTCCACCCCGAAGCGCAAAGCCTTTGTCCACAAGTCCCTCCATCCCTCCTCGCACAGTCAAGCCAGCGCGGCCACAGACTCGCTCTCCCAGCCCCACCTTGTCCTACTATTCTTCAGGGCTGCACAACATGTAAGTCTTCCTGCCAAAGCCCTCCGCCACCTCCTCTTCTCATCAGCCAGCTCACGGGCCCCGGGAACCTCACTAGGCAGAGTGGTGGGAGAGGAAATGGCTTTTATCTCTTAAAAGCATTTTTGCCAGAAGAGCATGATAGAGCTGTTGGTTTTGACTTGGATGGAGAAATCAAAGTCTTTGGGGAAAAGATGTCTTGGGTTAGCAAGAAACTCAGTGACCCAGGCCCATTGTTCCACACGCCAGCGACTGGTTCTTTCCACTTCACCATAAGCAGACAGCACCTTCCCCCAGGACCTGGCGAGAGCTCTGCTCTGCATTTCTGCCCTGGCAGGACCCCGTCTTGGCTATCGCTGTCGTGCGGACAGTCGTCCTCTCCTGTCCGGAGCCAGCCCTCCATGTACCGCGAGCTGGCTTCCTTTGCATTGTGGTCCATTCCATTGTTGGCAGTTGCCAACGTTTGTTTTTAAAAGAAATCTTTCATAGCATCAAGTTAAAATCTTATCTCAGTGCAGCTGTCAGCTGTTTATGTCCAGAGAAACAAAATAGATCCACCCTACTTCTCTCTGTCAGCCCTTGAAATGTGAACTTGCTGTGATGTCAGTCTTGTCTTCTCCAAAGCAGTGTCGTCTGTGGCAGTTGTCCCCGTGGATATTGCTGGCTGCTCCTTCCTAACGTGGTCGCCCACCTTTGAGCACACTGTGGTGTCATTGTCACTCTTACCTGACCATACCATGTGTGCTTGTAGAGTTGAAAGTTGGTCTCTTCACAGGAATTTTTAAAACCCCATGGACATCATAATTTCTTTTGCTAATATAACTTATTTGCATACATACAAAGACAAGGATCAGCATCTTACTGAAAGCATTGCTTTGAATCTCGGGCTTTGGGGTGGAAATAGCGTCACGGGGTGTGGCATGGTGGACTAACGGTCGTACATGGAGGCCAAGCGTATGATGCCTGTTTATTACTTAGTCTTGGCATCTACTGGTGTAAAGCTCAAAGCTTAGTTTGAGAATGTTTCTCATCATAAAAATCTAGTCACAATGATTTCCTTATTTTTTCTGTCTATACTGTAGTACTTTAAATCACTATGCATCATCTCCATAATTACCAGTGTACTTTATTAAAAATTCCTTATTTTAAAATGATGTTAGCAGGTACTTTATTGAGGTCACGATAAGAAATATATTTTTCCGGGGCTGGGGGTTTAGCTCAGCGGCATAAGCACCTGCCTTGCAAGCAGGCGGTCGTGAGTTCGATCCCCGGTACCGATAAAAATGAAAAAGACAAAAAAAAAAAAAAAAAAAAAAAAAAAAAGAAATATATTTTTCCTCACTGCACTTTTCTGCTTAGAATTGTGGGTAGTAGAGGATAAGGAATTTGGCTTGGTTTTTTCCCCTACTAATTTTCTCTCTACGTGTTTGCTTTTTAAGCAGCGTTACTAAAAGTGACACAAGCCCTTCTGAAAGCGCTCCCATTTCCTGTTACCCGTGTAACCGAGTGAAGACCGATTCTGTGGACCTGAAGTCCCCGTTCGGAAGTCCTTCTGCAGAAGCGCTGTCCTCCCGGCTCTCGTGGCCTAATCATTACTCGGGAGCCTCAGAGAGCCACACCAGGAGCGACTTCCTGCTGGACCCAAGCAGGAGCTACAGTTATCCCCGACAGAAGACACCCGGCACACCAAAGAGAAACTGCCCGGCACCTTTTGATTTGGATGGCTCCCAGCTCCTGGGCAGCGCTCCCAGCGCGGTCACTGCAGAACCCAGTAGCGGGGCCGTGGGTTGTCCAAAGTCAGCCAGCTACTCTCTGGAGAGCACCGAGGAGAGCAGCCTTGCAGTGGGCACGAACAGGCAGAGCGTCTCGTGCCCTGCCTTACCCCCCAGGGCCCCAAAGCCGGTGGAGCAGAAAGGGGCCACAGAAATATCTCCTTTGCCTCTGAAAATCGACGGTGCTGAGGAGGACCCCAAGTCAGGGTCGCCGGACCCCTCCGAGGACCAGTATTTTGTTAAAAAGGGCATGCAGGACATCTTCTCCATCTCCTACCCTTTCTCCTCTCCGCTGCACCTCCAGCTAGCCCCCAGGTCCTGTGGCGATGGGTCCCCGTGGCAGCCACCCGCTGACCTGTCGGGACTCTCTATAGAAGAAGTGTCCAAGTCACTACGGTTCATTGGTTTGTCTGAAGACGTCATCTCCTTCTTTGTCACTGAAAAGATTGATGGGAATTTGCTCGTTCAACTAACAGAAGAAATCCTCTCAGAGGATTTCAAATTAAGCAAACTTCAGGTGAAGAAAATAATGCAATTCATTAATGGCTGGAGGCCCAAAATATAGCCAAATAACCCAGCTAGCATGAAAGAAGACTGATAAATGTGTGCTGGATGGGGGTGGGCTGGGACACAGTTTCATGTTTTTGCACTAAAACCTTCTCTGTAAATAGGGATAAGAAAAACTCTTACTATGCAGATTACATTTTTGAATGGTGAACAGGCTATTTTGTACATCAATAAAGATGCTGTACAGAACACGTAGAAGTGTGCCTTGTACGTCACTCAACACTCAACAGCTGCTAAAGAACAAAAACGGGCATATTCAGAGAACTTGTTCTTACCCCAGTAGGTTTATCTGAGAAGGTGTGATATTTATTACAAAATAGCCAAAGCCGAAAAACATCAGAATCTTTAAAAAAAAATTAAACAGAAGAAAAGAAAAAACATTTTTGAGCAGTTCCCTTCTTCAGGAGAAGTTCATGTTAGACAACTATATTCTGTGCTCTGTTGTTTGGATTGCCTAATGCTAATTGTTTTACTTTTGTGCCTGAAAATGTTGGAGATATGAAATGACACTTTAATGTTATATGCTTGATGGGGATCTTTTTATTAAAAGGCGTTTTCCTAGCCGTGCTGATAAAGGATAAGTGATTTCCTTAGAAGTAATACAATTCATGACCACAATAATTGATCTAACTGCTGCTAGATTTTATTGAGCAGAGAAACAAATGAAATCTATAGGGGGGTGTGTGTGTGTGTGCATGTGTATATACACACACAATATACACGTGTATTATGTTTTGAACAGAATTTTGAATCAGATATTTTAGATAGTCTGTGTTCACTCTCAAGTATCTATAGAGGTTTTGGGACCGTAAACCAAGCTGATTCTCTAAGGAACAGTAGACAGAATGATTCCAGAGATTCTCAGAAACCTGAACTTTGAAGTTTAGCCTTACCTAGGTTTCATCACTTAAAACTTGGAAGGGACCAGTGACACATCTGGAGAATTGCATGTGACTTTAAGCCCCATGGTAGGGTTGATTTCTGTGTATCTGTGCCAACATCTGGAGAAATGAGTTGGTGTTGAGTGATCATTCTCAGCTCTGAGGGTCTTTTCCTGTGGCGTCTACTCCTGAGGCACCCGAGCAGCACGTCTCAGAGTTTGAGGGGTCCCCGACATGCTTCTTGCTTTAAGAGCACTCAGAAATCAGACACACCATCCATTCTCCTGATGTCAGGGCTCCACAGTTGGGTAGTTCTTAAAATATCAGTGAGAGTATGTGTTACTTTCATAAGCTTTCTTTCCGCTCTTCTAAGGAAGATACATATTGTGAGAATTCCAGGATGGTAGTGTGAGAATTTTTGCTAAATGTTAAATACTCTGAATATAATGGCCTCATTCTCACTGTTGACCTCTTGAAGGAGTATGAGCCTTAGAAAAGTTTTTGTTATCTGAACACGGCATCCTTCAAACAGCCCCAAGCCTGTCCCCAGATTCTGAACCTGTAGCCTGGGACCAAGGTACGCACTGGCTTCCTGCCTGTGTCAGCATGACTTGTAGGATTACGTCGTTTTATGATGTCCTCTTTCTGCTCACCAGAATAAACAGACTTAAAGACAAGACCCACCAGTCTGGGTGGGTAGCCCTGTGAAATATGTCTCTATTTCTTGGCATTAGAAAGCCATTTTTAATTCATGTCATGATTTACAGTTGAATTAAATTGATTCCTCTTTGAATTCTCCATCTTAGATCTTCTTAACAAAAAGTTTTTTTCTTTTGTTCCTAACATGCATCCCATAATGTAAAATGCTAGTTCTCCAGGTAAAAACAGGACCCTGTAAAATTGTACCCCAGAGGCCTCGTCAGAAGTGGCTGACAGATCTGTGGAGTGTCCAGCACCCATGAAACTCCTGGGCGAGGGACCACCTCCAGTGAGTTACCCCTCAGAACTTCTCTTTGAATGAAAACAGGCTAGACCCAGTTGAGAAGCTGCACCTCTTCAGTGGCCAACGCGGGCTCCATCCGTTCTAAAGCACCAAGAACCTGGATGTAGTTTCCAACTCAGAAACAAGGAACCCAGCTTTACTGGGTTTACTGGGTAGTTTGCCCCACATAAGCACTGATTCTTTTTGTCTTTTACTTTTTGCAGAACCTTACATAAGAGAGAGTCGTTTTCTTTTTGTTTGTGTGTTTGCGTTGGTCTCGGCCTGCTCATACTGACTGCTGCCCTCGAGACTCCTTGCAGGCAGACTGGCCTTGACTCACGTATACATTGTGTGTTCACTGAGCACCTTCTATCCACAGTGCTTGCCTTGACCAAAGACTCAGTCCCTGCCTTCTCAGAACTCATACTATTCATATTTAAACTCCCAGTTGCTGACATCATGTATGTGCGGGCGACTGACATGGCTTCTCTGGGCATGGATCTATGGAGAGGGAAGTGTACCCCATCTTTAAGGTGTCTCCAGACAGGAGTAGCAGCTGCAGTAAGGGTATAAATAAACACGACCATTAGAACCTGCAATAGGTTGGAGGCAGCTTATCTTTCATTTTTCTCTAGTATTTTACTGACTTGAGAAAACTAATATCTGCTGGCATTTCTAAGTTGCCACAAATGTGATAATCGCCCTTCTCAAGCTGAGAGCAGTCTGTGGAGGGCTTGACTGTCAAGGCACCTGCAGCCAGAGAACCACGGCAAGAAATGTAAACAAGAATAAGAGGAAAAACCGCTCCTCCTTCCGGGTGACCGCAGTGGGAAGCCACGTAAGGCGGTCGGTCCCCCAGACGGAAGCTTTTCTAGGTCAAGGGTGAGTACATGTTTCCTGGCAGGTTCCCACAGTCGGGATTCTTAGGAAGGGGCTGTCTGAATAGGACCTTTTCTTGAGTCCATAAATTCATGGCTAAAATCATCTTCAGGCTCCCATCAGGAAAGAAGTATAGCAATAAACCAAGCCAAGCAGCTCAAATGTGTAAGATGGACCCAACTCAGAGGGAAAACTAACACACAGATCAATTCTTCCTCAGAATCCTGTAAACGCCCGCAAGTTCTCTCTTCTCTAAGTTGAGCTGCTCAACTTTATGAACTGTGAAATGTACACTTGCACTCTTGCAGCCGGCACACACCACTCACATTTATGAAGTTGTAGCAAACTGCACATTTAGCTAAATTGCAGTGTTTATTCTTGTCTCCTGCAGAACTGCAAGAGTCTTATGTCCCACAGTAGGACAATCCACCCCAGCTGACTTCAGACCCCCATAAACACCCTCCAGGACGCCCTGCACATCCCCGCTCATCTCCCTGAGAAGTTCAAGGGGCTGCTGGGGATGGATAGTGAGTCCATCTTGGGGCGATAAATCACTGCTCAGCATGCCTAACAAATATATGATTAGCATTCTAATAACGAATGCAAAGTAGTTCTCCAAAGAATCTAGCAAACTATTCAAAGGAAATTTTAGTTTTACCCGACCAGAAAAGTTCAATCTGTGGTTGGACACACAGGCTTTCAGAAACACGTCCTTTCCATCAGCTCCCACTATTCTCTAGTAATCAAAAGGCTGCTGAAGCAAGAAGAATAAAATGCCTGGTGTACAAATAAAGCAAAATATGGTAGTGTTGTAATATAGTGGGATTCTTATGGCCAAATCATGGTAAATCACTTCAGCTAGTCCAGAAAACTTGGTATTTTCAAAATTTTTCTCATTGTGATAAGGGACAAGAAGTGTGATTTTAGTTAAGATTTTATACAAATGTTTTTCTGTAATTTTGCTGCTCTAATTCCTAGGGTGAGTTTTGTAATAGAGCTTATCAGATTGTGAATTTCCTTTGTTTAGGAAAATATAGGAGGGCTCAGATAATTTCTTAACTGTAAGCTTTTTCTCCCATCTTTCATACCTAAGTTCCACTTAAAATACTGACTCAGCTAAGTCTAAAAAGTGAACTCAAGAATTTCGGTAGTTTTCCTTACATGGAAATGGTGTATTCTTTTCAAAGAATTTTGTAACCATCTTTACAGTTTCTTGGCTTGGAAAACTTGGGTTGTTAACCACAAGTTAACGTTTGTGTTGCTTTCCAGAGCATTATTTTAAGGGGCCCAATGTGTACCTCAAGATAAACACAGTATGTTATGTCTAAAAACAATTTCATTGTCTGTTTGATTTAAATGGTTCTGAAATGTCTATAAATAAAGAAATTATCGAAGTTGCTCTTGCAGTCTTTCCTCAATGAGTCAGACAGATCAATTTTCTAGGGGAAAATCCCTTTTCTCATGGGGAACCTGTCTGGGAAGATTCCCAATACTGCAGGCCCATTGTAGTTAAGAGATTGAAGGTAGCAGCTATTGTACCTAAAACTGGTAACTCAGTAACCTGGTAACAAAGAGGATCCAGTTATCTGTGTGGTGAGGAGATATAGCAGAAGACAAATACAGATGAGTTGTAAAGACTAAACATTCAAATGGGCTGGAGGAAAAGGTAATACAAATTCATGTCTTTGGCTCACCTGTCATTCAATAGATGTAATAACATAGCAGAAATGGTCAGGAGTCCTAGAGAAGGATGTCACCTGCTGCAGTTTCTGCCAACAAGTTTGATAGAGAAATTGGAGCAAACAAGGAGAGATTAAGAATTTTCATCATAATCAAAATGGCGTGCCCTCAGTCTTCCTGTCTTACTACCTAGACTAAGGGCTCCCCAAATTATCCATTCTGCCCTCTGCTTAAGGCTTCAGTCCTGCCTTGCTATTCCTCAGAGATAAGCCCTGTACAGACCCTTGTGCTGCCACTTCCCTGGATACCAGTGGTGTGTGCTGGAAGAACCTATGGGCTTTTGTAGGCTGGCTAAACAACCCAAAGGTCAACCAGAAAGTCCTAGGGTGCTTAGATCAGGTGTACCCTGGGGCCCTCACCTCATCGAACTGGACTGAGAAATGACTTGGGTTAGAACCAAATGCCTTCTACTTCCTGCACATCTGACGTTAGAAAAAGCCTTATTTTTGTGTTTTTTTCTGGTGTCAGAAATCAAACTCAGAACCTTGCACTTGCCAGGCAGGCACTGTACTGCTGAGCTATATCCCCGGCCCAAAAGCCTTTAAAATAGTAATACAGGCCTGGATACATTCATATTTTGCCAAAATGGCTTCCACCTGAAGACCCTTCTCTCTGTGGCCCCATCCTCTTTGGATAACTCAGACACATCCTTTGGTTCACACCGTCACCCCCAGGCTGATTAGGTTGTACACCTTTGTGCTGATAGCTCTGTCCCCTTGGGATTTGTAAACTTTTTGGAATTGCAGCCTTTGTCTTCATATTCTTTCAAAAGTAGGTGCTGCTTAGCATGGTGGTGCTTGCCTGTAATTCTAGCTTCTCAGAAGGCTGAGGTAAGAGATTTGCAAAGCCAAGGCCTCCCTGGCTACATGATGAGACCTTGTCCCAAAAATCCTCCAAAAACAAGTCCTGAAGATGTAACTCAGTGTTCCTCTGGGTTAGTCCCAAGTACTAATAGGAGTGGGGGGAGAAAAATTAGTTGCTACTTGAGGTTCTGTTGAACGCCAGCATGAATAGGCTGACATTTCTGATGGTGACCATCAAGGTCAAGACTGCAACCACAGGGTAAAGGTTAGAGGAGGATGGTAAGTCAGAGGAGGGCCAGGTGCGTAACTCAGTGGAGAGCATGTGCTAAGTATGTGGAAGGCCCTGCTGCGATCCCCCCAGCACACACAAACACAGACTTGACTGGTACCAGCAACACTTGCACTCCTATCTAAATAGAGCAAGACATGAACTCATGTCAGACTAAGTTTGTGTTGTTTACCAATGAATATATCTTCTTACAGTTTAAGCCAATGACTTCCATATTTTAGTGGATATAAAATGAACCAAACAGATTGCTGTGCTCCCACAGACTGACACAAATATTAGCTTCAAAAGACAGGCAATCAAGCCAAAATAGCTCAGTTGAGAGAGCATTAGAGTGAAGATCTGAAGGTCCCTGGTTCAATCCTGGGTTTCGGCAGTGGCTTTAGTGCAAGATGTGCTACTACTTTGGGGCTGGGGATTTAGCTCAACAGCATAAGCACCTGCTTTGCAAGCGCAAGAGTTCGGTCACCAATACCGATTTTAAAAAAAAAGGCAATCAAAAAGTAGTAAATATGGTTGGCTGACCTACATTAAGAGTGTCTCAGGACCAGAAGCAATGACAAGTCCTCCAAGCACACCTGAACAAGCAACATGGTGGAGAGGGCCATGAAAAACAACCTGCAGGCAGCTCATAGACCTCTGAAGCAAGGGGGGACCTTGGAAATGAGCGGGCCCATACACTTTAATGTCATAAAAATGAAACCCAGACTTTCCTCAGAGATATGGGGTATGACAGAACAAAGTCTAGAAAAAATCTTCTGGTTTTCCAACTGGTATTCATTCCAACTCTGTCTCCCAGTTTCCTCGAAGTTTAACTTTCAAAAGTCACATAATGGCTTTGTAGTGCATGGAATGCCCACAACTAACACACCCCAGCCAGTGACGGGTAGAGAGAAATTCTTGCTTATTAAATACTATAGAGGCCCTGAGCACATCTTCTGTTCTTTGATCAGAAAGGATGACTCAGTGGAGACCTGCACCCAAAAGACCTCAGCAGTGAACCAGAGCACTGGCCACCCCTCCCCAGCACCCAAAAGACCTCACAGCTGAGAGGAACCTTGGCTGCCCCTCCCCCTCACCTGGACAACTATGGGAGCATCAGCAACCCCTTCCACCACCTGTAGTACCTCAGTGGGTTGGTGGGAGCCTCAGTGACCTCTACCACCCCCCACCTGGAGGACCTGAGTGGGCCAGGGAGAGCATGGTGAGTACACCCCAAGCAGAGGAGCTTAGTGGATTGGCAGGAGCCTTAATGAACCCTTCCTTCACCTGTAGGACCTTGGCAGGCTAGCAAGAGCACAGATAAGCCCTTCTTCCACACAGAGAATCCTGGGTGCACTAGTGAGAGCACCAGCAAGGGTTCCCCATACATGGAGGAACTCAGCTGGGCCTGCAAGCTCCCCAGTAACACAGTGATGTCCCAGCTGGGGGCACACACAAAAGGTGGGCCTGGTGGCCTGAAACAATCTGAAACCGCAGTGACAATACAAGCTAAGGGTTGGTTCATGTCAATACTCCTAAGCTAGTCAGCTTAGGAAGAATATAGGACTCACCCAACTGGCCCTGCAAGAGAAAGTCAGGTAACCAGCCCCTCCCCTCCACTGTAGGCCCCAGCAACGGGGTGAACATCGGCCACACAGTAGCACCCTAACACACAATGGACAGTTTAGACTAGTGGAATTTAAAAGACCTAAATATTAACCAAGAGGTGAAAATGACAAAATGAAAAAGCAAAATGCAATCTCAAAACCCTAACCTATTTGGAACAAGTACAGGAGACATCAAAATAGAGGACAGTGGAAGTCACATACCTGAAATCTCTGAAAAGAGAGCAAGTGAAGTAAAGAGACAAATCCCTGAGGCTACAGAGGAAATCAGATTAGAAATAATCTCTCAGGTAAAGAAGGAAATGACAGCCTTAATGAAGGAGTTACTCAGCATAGCTAGAGAAGACATAGTTTTTAAAAAAGTACAGGAGTTCAGGGGAAAATGATGGGAATCCTGAAAGAATACAGGAAAGAAATAGAATGCAAGAAACAGATTCAAGACATGTCCAAGAAATTAAAATTTCCATTGAAAACTGGAAAATCCACTTGAACAAAACTGAAGGAGACTTTCAGACCTTGAAGACAGGATCACAACTAGTAATCATGAAAGGAAAGAGCTCTTAAAAATAACAAGGGACTATGAAATAACAATTCAACAGCTCCAAGATGATGTAATGAAAATCAATATAAGACTGATAGGTGTCAATGAAAACACAAGAGTCAATGAAAATGACATTTAAAAAAACTATTTGCAGAAGTAACAGCATGGGAAAATAATCTGATATTCAGATAAGTGAAGCATATAGAACTCCACACAGCCATAACTGAAATAACTGAAATAAATCAACCCAGAATATAATAATCCAGATTCCAGAAATTCAGCATAAAAGCAGAGTATGAAAAACTGTTAGAGAAAAGAAATGGATCACCTATCAAGGAAAGGCCATTAGAAACACAGACAACTTCTCAACACAAAAACCCTCAAGTCAAGAAGAGATGGGAGTAAATTATTTCAAGTCCTGAAATAAAACAACTTTGAAGCCAGCTGATGTACCCTGTAAAACTGTCTCTCAAAATTAATGGAGAATTAAGATACTTCAGTGACAAACAATAACTGGAGAAATTCATGTCCACCAAATGAATCCTAGAAGGAGTGCTGAAAGATATTCTAAATAGAGATAAAAATTACTAGAATTCCCAGAACAACATCAGAAACTACCAATCGGGCAAGCATTTTTAAAAAGCGGAAAAACAGGGAATCAACAACAGAACAGTATGACAAAGATTAGCCAATACATATCAGTAATAAGCATCAATGTAAATGTCCTCAATTCGCCAATTTAAAAAAACAGATTAGCAGAATGGATCAAGAAACAAAATCCAAGTACAAGAAACACATCTAATTAAAAAAGAAACTCATAGACTCAAAGTCTAAGGATGGAAAACAATATTCCATGTGACAGGAACCCAGAAAAAAAAGCAGGAGTAGCTATTCTGTTTGCAGACAATGTGAACTTCAAACCAAAGATGATCACAAGAGATAAAGTAGAGACCTTCAAGAAGATGGCAGAGCAGAAAGCAGTAGAGAAACAGCCTCTCTGAGACTCACCATCCAGATGCTGGAATATAGCATCATAAAGAAGACAAGAAGGAAGAAAGTGGGTTCCCTGGACCCAGGAAGAATCTGAAGTGCAAATTGAAGCCCACAGAGAGAGCCAAAGAAAAACTTCAATGAAGAAGAAGATGATAGCTGGTGGCACTTTCTTCCTGAGATAGGGCTCTCTGTGAAAGAAGAGCTGTTCAAACTGGGGATGCACAATCATGTTATCAGTGATGCTTGTGACCCTAGAGGCCTCTGCAAAGAGATTCTGCAGTGGAGGGGAGCGGCAGACATGGAGGATTGCACTGGCTGGTGGTGAGTGCAGAAGACTTAGTCCTCCTGTGGGAAGACAACAATTAGCAGGGAGCCATTTTGAAGATGGGCCAAAGAAACCCAGAACCTAGAACAGCTTAATCTAGCA